AGACAAAAAAAAAAAAAGAATCTTCTGTGTCTGAATGTGTCCCTTTGATATAGTATTGTACACTATAACTATTTACCCTTTTGGAGCTCAATAATGGGAATGAAGAAGGATGAATCTTGTCTGAATGTGTCTTTTGTACAGTATTGTAAACTGTTACTATTCATCTTATGGAGCTTAAACATGGGAATAAAGTTTTTATAGATTTCGTTTTGAAAGGTACTCTGCAAACTTTAAAAAAAAAGGCTTAAGAGCTTATTAAAATATAGTTGACAAAATGAGCATACAGCCAATAAGTCACAGGCAGAACATATCATTACGTCCGTCTGAATGACCGCAGATGCTTATGTTCTAGGAATCGCGTAGAAATACGTTATTGAAGGATACCATGCGGGAGCAGTGTATCCCAAATCTAGTGGAATCGTGGTACCAAATATTACAGACTTATCAGCACACAAACTCTGAACTGACATGCCAGTGCCTTGAAGTGATTGGAGCCTATGTCTCATGGATAGATCTGACATTGATTGCAAATAACAGGTATGTATATACTATATATTGTTTCAAAACATCGAACATTACACCATACTGTAACCATATTCGAACATGGCTAGTAGTGATTGCATGGCATATGTATAAAAATTGTTGAGATGACGGGTATAGCTATTACCCTTGCCCCACACACATGGCAGTACAGGTTTTTGTAGCAGCTGTGACATCTAAGCAAAAAGGGGTCACGGTTTTTGGCAGATAGTGGTGCTTTCATTGCTAATACTCAGCAATGCAATAGATAATCTTCCGGCACTTCTAATTTGCCTAGGAGAGTCGGTCCTCTCTGGCAGCCAGGATCTGTGTTGTTGGGTGAAGTAAAAGACTGACTGTATAAATTTAGACTGGGTAGTGACAGTGGAGGGTGTAAGACCAAGCACTTTCAAACATCTGCCTTGTTTGTTTGTAGTAATGTGCTGAGAGGCATATGTGAAACAGATCCACCAAAGTATATACACTAAGTTATGCTTGTATTGTTGGAATTCTGAATAAAATTGTAGGATTGGTTTGGAGTTTAATCCTTTAGATAACCGCAAATGAACACAAAAGAGCCATATTAATATCGCAGCACTTGGATCAGGTGTATAAATGGCACAGGGCAAAGGGCAATGGAATGTTGTAATCTACAGCAGGTAATGACGCAAGATGTTTATAATACTCAAGTGTAGTTAGTTTCCCTGATATAGGTGATTGTGTTGGCTGATTTTGTTTAAAAACTTCCCCTAATTTACAATGCAGAATTCCTGCAAAAACTAGTTTCATTTCAAAAAGTATTTTATAGATGTATTATCAAATACAACTGGAAGTACATTATTTAACAATAGGTTTGACCAGCATAAATGATCTACAGCACAAGGAAGTGCATGATAATGAATAGACCTGCATGCTTTTATTTCTGTATTTGCAGTTCTTCCCCCATTTTGTTATTTTGCATGTTTGACTTACTTTGTTCTAAACTGATGACTGTTACCTCCTTTTGTGCTAATCTCTCAGATTTATTAACATGCTGCTTGGTCACATGTCAGTGGAAGTTCTCCGTGAGGAAGCATGTGACTGTTTGTATGAAATTGTAAATAAGGGAATGGATCCTATTGATAAAACCAAACTAGTGGAATCTTTGTGTCAAGTATTACAGTCTGCAGGATTCTTCAGCATTGAACAGGTTTGTGACACTGCTGATTGAGCCCATGCCAGGACATGTTATATTTAGTTATGTATCAGTTTTATGTTAATTTTGGTCTTCAAGTCAGTTGCTATCATTTTACTTTTATACACAGTGAAGCAAGTTTTTAAAATGAATGGTTTACTTTAGGTCCACAGAGAACTGATTCCTTGGGTGCTTTAATGAGCACTTAAAAACGCTTCCTAGTTAGTAGTTACTTTGATCTAGCCTTGTCCCTATCAGCCCATGGGGCTGTCCAGCACAGTGAAGGTCCAATACAGAGGCACATAATTGCTAATTTTTAACCAAGATGTGAAGTGTTTAGTTTTTACCTATAAGCACAGTTCTGGGCTCTAGTGTTATAATGAAGGTGCGTTCAAAGGATGTGCAGGTACCTTTTTTATCTTGTATGCTATAATAGGGTTATTTTCCATTTCTCATGTTTAATTCTGTATAATGTAAAACATTTTGCAAATCTAGCAACATGAGTAGAAATCCCACGTACCTGCAATTACAGGCCTGGAAACTCAAGTGCAGACATTGCACTACCATACCCCCCTAGAGATGTACATGATTTGTTGTTCAGTGCTACAGCACCCAGCAAAAATTGAAATATCAGCTTTTGTGTGAGCCTACCATTGAGGTATATCTGCAAATTAATGTGGAGGCTGCCATAGGTGAGCAGTTTCCTGTCTGTCACCCTTATCCTGTGGCTTCAATACTTTAAGTCACTGTCCTGAAACAAGTATGCAGGTTAGGTATTTTGACTTCAAATGCTGTATGCTTGTTCCATGTCAGTGACTCAGGATATACTGAAGCCAGAAAGACAAGCTAGTGTTATTAGAAGGGGTGCATCACTGGCAGCCTGCCCATTTCTCTCAGTACAGGTTGTCCTTCTACTCCACAAAGAGCAAATCGTCATAATACTGAGTCACAGATTTCTGTGATTGTTAGTGAGTCACTCCTCCCCATGTAATGGAAATAAAAGACCAGTTTGAAGTCCAGCCTGGTGACAACAATGGCTTCAACTGTTGATATGGTGAAGTGAGCATAGCCATCCAGGAATAGAAAGTGTGTTATTCACAGGAGTCTGAAAAGGAAAACAAATGCAGTCACTATGTCTAAGGACTGGTAAGCTGCCATATATTTTTGTTTTTGGGTTTAGATATTCCTTGAAGCACATTGCTGTAAACGTCAAAGGATGGGTACCATTTTAACAGAAAATAACGGTAGCATAGCTGTAGTGTTGCGCTGTGCATCCAGTTTAGCTTGAATGGATATCAGGCTAGCCTGCATGACATGCAGTGAAACACTGCAATTTACCCCCATCTAGGATTTTGAGTCCTATTATGTTGTTTCAGAGACTCTAAGCATTGGTGAGGGTTTTTCTTGATCACAGGGTGTTAAATCTTGGACCATTGGGTTATGCTGCTACCTTCAGGCTAATAAACTGGCAAATTAATCAAAGCTGCAGGGCAGCTCTGCATAACCTCAATCACTCCCAGCCTGTCTCAGCTTTTTTCAGTTGTCCTTGGGTCCTCTGGAGGGAAATCGTCTTGGCACTTTTGGCACAAGACATTCCTGAAGCCTGAGTTTTTAAAGTGTTGTTACCAAAGGCTACAAGCTGGAGTTTCTCTCCCCATTTCCTGTTGAATCTTTAAAATGTTCTCAGACGGGCACATTTCTAAACATGTCCTAAGTCAGCTCCTCTCTCAAAGGGTCATACTGCATCTTCCGGAGGCAGAAATGTTCCAGGCGTTTTACTCCAACATGCATTGTTCCCAATGCCAAGGAATGGTTTTGCTGGAACCCTTCTATTGCTTGGAGTACCTAGGCTTGGTCTGGGACAAAACATTGTCCAGGGTCTTCCTACCACGGGAGAAGTTGCTGTCGCTCTGCTCCCAGATTCAGACCCTACAGTCCAAGAACCATCCAACCATTCACTTTTGCATAAAAGTTCTCGGCCTCGGTATCCTCCTTCGAGGCAGTTCACTTTGCTCAGTTTCACCCTGGGCCGTGGCAGCTCAAAATCTTTGCTGTATGGGGACAAACAGGTTCGATCCCCAGATCTTCCCATCTTGTTTGTCCAGCAAGGTGAAAATTGCCCTAGCGTGGTGGATATTCATTCTGGCACTTGAATCCAGGAAATCCTTTCTTCAATGTCTTCGGATGTCTAGGGGACCTGGTCACTGGGATCCTTTAGCCTTCGTGGTAGATGCCTTGGTGACTCTGGAATGAGTGATCTACTTGTTGTGTCCTCCTGAAGCTCTTCCCTCGCATTGTTTTCAGGATTGAGACCGAAGACATTCCTGTAATCCGCATTGCCCCAGCTTGCCCGGGAGGCCCTGGTATGCAGATGTGAACAAACCCCTGGCAGACTTTCTGTGGGCACTTCTAGGCTGTCCAGTATTCCACCCTACTTCTCGGTCACTGGTTTTAACAGCATTGCTGTTGAAGCCCAAGTCCTAAGAGATTTGTCATCTCTACACTCCTTAATGGAGAACTATGAGGTGAGTGGAAATCACTCATCCTCATAGTTGGAGCCGACTTGTGACAATGAACCTGTCACACGTCGGCTCAGTAGATCAAGAAGTGAGCGACTGCATAACGTCGCTCACTCACTTTGACAGTCACCGCTCCCCGCAGGGATTCCTCCCCTCCCCGATCCTCCAGCGCTGACTGGAGGAACGGAGGGGGTGGGAACAGCTGGCTCTGTCTCTAGATAGTCAGAGCCAGCTGTCATTCACGCAGCTGGGTGGATCTCGACAGCATTGTCGGGTTCCGTCCCCGGCTGCGGCAGCCTCAGTATACCGTGAGCTGTAGCTCGCGATGTACTGAGCTTTGGGTCACGGAAGGAGGTTAGTATATGTCTTCCCGTGACCTTAAAGAGAACTATGGGGAAAAACACTTAGCCCATAGTTCTCTTTTAAGGCTAGAAAGTCGACCTTCCATAAGGTCTACCATCACACCTATAAGATGTACTTTGCTTGGTGCAAGGCCAGCAAATTCCAATCCAGATTAGTCTGGGCTAGCGTTTTGGCCTTTTGTATCTTCAAGGGTACAAAAGGCCAAAACGCTAGCGCAGCCCCCCCTCCCCCGTTTGTGGTCCGGTGACTCTGTGGGACCTCAATCTGGTTAAAATTTTGCTAAGGCCTGTGTGGTCCCCGCCCCCCTTACACCTTAACCAGGATGTTGTAGTATCATCCCGATGTCCTGCTTCAAAACGCCCTAAAAACATTTCCTACACTGTTTAGACGTAGTTCGGGAGGTCAGAGTTTACCTTCTATTTGCAAGTCTGACTCCTCGTTTTTCCTTTGGATCCATGCATGGCACAGCAGAATTCCTGATCTAGTTTTTCTAGTTAGATTCGTCAGACCATCTTTTATCAAATTCTATCAGGTGGCTGTTCAGGCCTCTGATGATTCCAGTTTTGGTTGAAAAGTTCTTCAGGCAGCCCTGTACTCATTGGGCATGCCTCTGTTCTGATTTTTCTTACCTGTTCAGGTTGTTATATTTTGGACCTGTTCGGTTGTCTCTCTGTTGGACTGCTTGTGAATGTCCTAGTGGCTTAATATTTAATTTCCCCTGTCCTGTGCAGGTAAGACAAACAGGATGATTGTCTTACTGCATAATCCATTTATATTAGTACATCACAGGATTTTTTCTGTTTTCTGCGATCCACTCTGCACTGCTTGCTACACAACTGAGGCGGAGTGGGAGGGGCGGGGCTTGGATTGATTTGCCGGTGTCCCAGTCACCTGAAGCTAGCTGCATAACCCGTGGTCTAACAATTCACATTGTCCTGTGATGTGATGTAATGTATTTTACAGGCAAGGCAAAAATCCTACTTATTTATTTTTTAAGTCCCTTATTTTGCATACTGAATTATGTGCGTGTTTGACTGTTAAGAATTTTTGTATGTTAGCAAAACTCATTCAGGAACATGATCTAATTGTAATTTTATATAAGCCAATGTCTCAGTTAATGATTGAAGTATGTATCGGTTATTTCTTAGAGGCTTGAGATCTGCTCCTAAGGTTATTTATTTTGAAGTGTTTCCTATACCAGGCTCTTGAACTTGTTTTAATGCCTGTGATCCTGTCAGATAAGGTTATCAAAAAAACATTTTAAAAAATTTGTCTTGACATTCTGCGATTTAAAGACATAATTGTTCCAGTGCTGAACTTGTAAGCGTGTTCAATTCTGGTTCTCCCATGAATACAATTTCTGCATAATTTGCTCCAGGAAGAAGATGTGGATTTTCTGGCCAGGTTTTCGAAGCTGGTGAATGGGATGGGACAGTCGCTGGTGGTTAGCTGGACTAAACTGGCAAAATCTGGTGATCTGAAGAATGCACAGGACACACTGCAGTGCATTGAATCCAAAGTGCCTCTGATGTTGCAGTTGCTCATCCATGAAGATGATGACATCTCTTCCAACATAATTGGATTTTGTTACGAGTATTTACATATCTTAAAACAAGTAAGCGACCTCTTAAAGGAAATGTATAGTTTTGCTTATATTTTTAATATGGCCAGGAGAAAAAAATGGGATATAGATAGCCAAAACAATCCTTGGCTTTAACCCTTTCCTGTTCTGCCCAAAATAATGGATTTGGCTTTACTTACACTTTTAGTATCTGTGGCAAGAAGTGTA